TGTCCAGGCGGGTTTTGAATGTCTCCAAAGATGGAGACTCCACAACCTCCCTGGGCAGCCTGTTCCAATGGCAAGCATAAATAAACACTTCCTACAAGTTTTGAAGTTAAATAAAAGTTCAAATATTCAACTTTAAATTTTGAGCAAGCTTTTAAATAGAACACCCTCTTCCCCACTTCTATACAAAGATAAAGCAGTGGTGTACAAAGCACACAAGTTAAATTGTGTTTGATAACTGGGGAATAGCCTTACTGTCAGTTATCAAACAAATCAGGAGAATAAACATATCTCTATCTTGTAAGATAAGACTAAAACCAAAAATCCACGTTAATCATGATAGAAGTGAAACATCTGAATGCAGAAGCCTCACAGTTATCACTTAAAAGCTTTAAACCCAACTTCCTCTGATCTATTTGCTATTGTAAAGCAAATATCCAAAGAGCACTGACACTTTAACTCTTGGAAAGCAAATAACACATTTACATCAACCACCCCTCCCGCCCTTCCAACACATGGATATGAGAAAGGTCCCAAGCACTCTGTAGTTCCAACACAGTTCCATGTTCAACATTCCTCAGTCAAATCTCTAAACACCTGAGGTGCCAGTTTATAGTGAACAAAAATTAATGAATAAAAACTCTTCTGAGTTCTTACACTCTGCAAAAGAGATCAGAGAAGGAATTTACACTGGGCTAAATCCAAAGTTTAATCTAGCTTTCTTAGGATGTTCTCACCAAGAATATGTTCTCTGGGACACATTTTTAGAATGAAAAGCTACTTGGTTGAAAACAAACGGCTTTACTTTTTATGATGAAAGAGAAATGATGATTGTTGAGTTACACTGTAATACTCTCTTTATGCTGTGTCTGTAGGCTCGTATCTTTAACGAGACCCCTATAAATCCACGAAGATGTCTGCACATCCTTACCAAAATCCTTTACTTGCTGAACCAGGTAAGTGCTATCATTTCTTCCCAGCCAGAATGAATATTCCCAAGGCTAATATAAGGAAGAAGTTCTTTACTGTGAGGGTGATGAGGCCAGAGAAGTGGTGAATGTTCCATCCTTGGCAGTGTTCAAGGCCAGGTTGCACAGAGCCTTGAGAGACATGTCTAGTGTGAGGTGTCCCTGCCTTTGGCAAGGGGTTGGAACTGGATGAGCTTAAGGTCCTTTCAAAGCCAAGCCATTCTGTGATGCTGTGATTCTAATTTCTGATAGCTTTCAGTGTGAAAGAAGTTTTGTACCTCTTCCTGACAGATTTGGGAGGTAGCTTTTTAAGGAGATCCAGAATGGGGTGTTTATGCTTTAGTATTATGTTCTTCCCTCTGACTTGCTGCTAACTGGAGTGAGATACATATCACTGAAGCATTTAATACTTTTTCCATGAGTGCCAAGTGAGAGCTGCTGCTTGATCTGTGGCCATCACAGCCCTGTGCAATGAAAGAGACACTTGTGTTTGCCCAGCTAAAGTGGGAATGGCTGAGACGAAGTGAAAACATAGGCCAAGAAGTGATGAGGTAGAAGGGTGTCTTTTTGTCTGGGGCTAAATTAGAAGCATGATAAGAAAGATTTTCTTCAGATGTTTATGTAGATCAGGTTTCGTGTGTGTCAGGTTGTATTTAACATCAAAGTAGGTTGGACCTCTGCTGTTCAGTCTTAATTCAGGCAGCAAGTAGATCCCTTTTAGGTAAGACAAAACCAAGGATGCCAGAAAAGGGAGCACAGGCTACTTAACAAACTGTTCCATTGCTGTACAGCTATGGATGGCATTTGTTGAAACCAAGTAGCTAGTAGTGGTAAATTTGACAGGTACTCCTCAGGAAACACGAGGTGAGGGAGGGATGGTTTCTAACATGAGAAAAAGCCTCAAAGCAAAGATCCTTGGTGTGTGGGTAGGTGTTAAAAATGGAGGCTGGAGGGAAGGAATGCCATGCAGAGGGACCTCGACATGCTTGTGAGGTGGGCTGATGCCAACCTCATGAAGTTTAAGCATGCCAAGTGCAAGGTCCTACAGCTGGGTCAGACCAATCCCAGGCACAGCTACAGGTTGGGCAGAGAAGAGATTCAGAGCAGCCCTGCGGAGAAGGACTTGGGGGTGTTGGTTTCATGTTCTTTTTATGTTGAGTAAACCAGAACTGCACACAGTACTCCAGGTGAGGTCTCACAAGAATGATTTCATTATTTTTGTTGTTTTTTTCCTTCTTTTACCGGTCTTTCTTTTCTCCGTTCCCTTTTCTTCTTGTCAAGGAAAAAAACAGGGAGGAGAAAAGTGCATCCCTGACTGCCCAGTGGCCATGGGCACGATGCTGCCGCTGTCACAAAGCTTCAGTGGTTGCTGTGGAGTTGCCCATGAGGAGCTGGGACCCTTTGGAACTGGTGAGGGCATCGGCGTCTCCGTGGAAACCACGGGGGCATTGTTACGACTCTTATGTGGGGTATTTAAGGCCCTGGCGCACCCTAGAGGTGGCAGTTGCCCTGTGAATCCACAGCAAGTCTGCATCCGAGGACACAGAAGATGCCAGTGGACAAGGGATCGAACGCCCGCTCCCAGCCTGCCGAGGGCAGGCCAGGAGTGCAAAGGAGGCGCCAGGTGAGGGCTGGGGCAGGAGTGAGAGGCCGGTGGTGGGACGGGGCCACATGGAGCTGCCTCGGGGCCGGGGCCGGGCTTGCCGGCACTGCGGGGGCTGCTGTGCCAAGGCAGCCGCCTCCATCACACACCTCTTCCTCCTCCTCCTGCCTGCAGGTGGGCCACAGGCCACAGCCTGAGGAAGGGCGGCGTGGGATCACGGTACCACAGCTGCCCTACCAACGAAGGTATCAGCCCATCGAGACCCAGCAGGAACAGGTAGGGACCCCGAGGGAGACAGGGCCAAACACCTTCCCAACCACGGGCATGCCGGGGCTGCTGTGGGCTGGGGCCATGGCCGGCGGGTGGCCAGCCCTTTCCCCAGCCAGCTCTGGGAGCAGGCAGCAGCCACCTGTGGGCCTGAGCCTTGCCGTGGGGCTGGCAGGGGAGCCCAACTGCATGAGCTCCCAACAGCTGGGATACGGGCGCAAGAGACACTATCACAGAGCCTCTCTCCTCGACTTCTCTTGCAGGTGGGCAGCGTGAGGTGCAGAGCGGTGCTGCCCCGCAGCATGAGGACAGAGGAGCAGACACTTCCTCGGCCAGTGGTGGTGGAAAGGACACCTCGGCCGCCACCTCGGCCAGTGAGAGAAGCCAGCAGGCTGCCTCGCCCGACATGGGCACCCTCTGCCCCTGCAGCCAGATTCACTGACATGGCCATCGGCAGGACAAGCAACAGCCAAAAGCAGCTTTGCACAACCGCTGCCCAGCAGCACCACATCCCCGCACATGGCAGCACTGTTGCGAGGCCACGGAGCTGGCAGCCTGCCCCACACAGGCCCACAGCCTGTGCCACAGCGCAGGGCACAAGAAATGTGAGCGCGGTCCTGCGCAACAACAGCGCTGAGAGCCGGGGACCCTACCAGCAGGCAGTGGCATGCCAGGACCCAGCATACAGCAGGGCTGCAATGACAAGAAGATACACTGTCAGGGCACCTAACGGCAGCAAAGCCACCGCCACTCAGCCTGCTCCTGATCCTAACACCCGTGCGAGCACTGCTGCTTCCCAGAGCAGGAAGACGGGGCGAGAGGGCAGCCTCAATGACAAGTTGCTGGGGCTGCACAAGAAGGTTCTTGCAAAGCCTCTGCCCGCCCTGCGCAGCAACATCGAGGCTTTGCAACACGCCAGGAGGAGCCGCTTGGCCAGAGCTCCTGAGGAAGAGGAGTACCAGGCACCTCTCGTTCCCATGGCACCAGCACCAGCATCTCGTGGCTTTAGCAGGCAGGCTGCTGCAGCACAAGCCCAGCGCCAGGCACCTGCCATGAACAGCTCAGCAGAAAATGACGCAGATCTGAATTTCCCATCCAGGTGCGTCAAGAAGCTTCCTTTCAGAGCTGGTGTCGAGGTGATAGAGGCACCAGCCTCTCCCGCCATCGGCAGGCAGGCTGCAGCAGGACGAGCACAGGGCCGGGCACCTGCCCCGCACAGCCACAAAGAAAGCAACATGGATATGAAGGTCACACCCAAGAGCATCCTCAGGAAGGTCCATTTCAGAGATGCTGTTGAGGAGGAGGCAGAGACCGCAGCCTCTTGTGGCTTTGACAGTCAAGCTCTGGCAGCAGAAGCACAGTGCAATGCACCTGCCTCCGACAGCATCATAGTAAGAGATGCAAAAGTGCGTGTCACACCCAGTGTCGGTGCAAGCTCCCAGTTCTGGAATATGATCGAGGAGGAGGCAGAGGAAACAGATTCTTCTCACAATGGTGATGAGGAGGCAGCACCGGAGGCAGCACCAGAGGCAGAGAGTCAGGCATCTGTCCTGCTCAGCCCAGATGCCTGTGAGTTGGTTCCACAGGGAGCAGCCCTGCTCAGCACAAGGGAGCCTCTGGTCCAGGCTGTGGCAGTGGATCAGGAAACCAGCCAGCAGCTGCTGGAACCTCAGGGCATGACCCAAATGCTGGATGCGGCAGTGGACAAAGAGGAGAAAGAGTGGGTAGAGGACATTGATAAAGTGCTGTCCCAAGTGGAAGAGATCATCATACGCAACCTCTGGGTCAACCCCTCGGTCCCAGAGCTCTTCCAGGACCCCCAGGCCGATATCCAGGAGGGGTCTGACTTCCCCAGCAGCATGGACATTGAAGTGACAGGGGAGGCAGGTGGAGACCTGCAGAACACGTCTCCTATCCCAGCCGGACCCACAGCCACTGAGTCGACAGCTTCTACATTAGCTGCATCTGCGGAGGAAGAGGAGCACCGCGCACGTCTCACTCCAGTGGCACAGGAGGAGGTGGAACCGGCACCAGTTTCTCCTGCCTGCGTCGAGCAGGAGGCAGCACCACAGGCACAGAGGCAGGTACCTGCCCTGCTCAGCCCTGATGCCTGTGAGGTGGTTGTAGAAGAAACGGCCAGGACCATCTCTGAAGAGGTCCTGATCATGAGCCTGGCCGTTGTCCAGGGAGCCAGCCAGCAGCTGGCGGAACATCGGGACATGTCCCAAAACTCAGATGAGGCAATGGCACTAATGGCATCTGTGTGGACTGGGGACACTGAGTCTCCTGTGTGTGGAGACCATCAAGGAGAGGCTGAAACAGCCATTGTCTTGCCAGAAACACAGAGAGAGGAAGTGGCAGCTTCATGGCCTGAGATGCCTGTGCCAGAGGCTGGAGCATGCCACTCTGCCCCAGAAGCAGCCAACGAAGGAGAAGCAGGAGCTTCTGCCTTTGATCGTGAATCTGGGCACCCGGTGAGCGAGGCACATATGGCTGGCACCGGAGATACTGTGGAGATTCAAGCAGGAGTCTCGCATGGGCTACCTGTGGCAGAGAGATTCCTGCTGCTCCCTATGCCAGAGCCTCTGGAGGAGCCGGAGAGGAGCAGCATGGCCCACACCAGTCACAGGCTCGACATGCAAAGGAGAGCCAGCCTGCCTTGGCTGCTGGGCAGCTCTGTGGAAAGGGAGCTCCAGCAGCAGGAGGGCCAGAGGCCTCGTTTCGCCTTGCGGCGGGGACGGATGCCCAGTCACAGGCAGGTGAGTGCCAAGGACAGGATGGGACAGGACAGCGGGATGAGCCTTCCTCTGCCTGTGGCCAGCCACAGCTCCCTCAACTCATTTTCTGCATCCCTGTTGTGTGTTTACAGGAAGCGCCAGGGACCTTGGGCGAGGAAGCTGACGATGAGGAGTTGGACGGAAAGGAAGAAGAGGAATGGGAAGAGGCCATGGACAAAGAGCTTTCTGAAGTGGAAGAGATCACCATACGCAACCTCTGGGTCAACCTCTCAGTCCCAGACCACTTCCAGGACACCCATGCAGATCCCCAGGAGGGATCCAGCTGCCCCACCAGCATGGGCATGGACGCAACAGGAGAGGGAACCAGCCAACAGCTGGTGGAGTATCAGGACATGACCCAAATCCTGAGTGTGTCAATGGCAGCACTGACGCCTGCAGCACCTGAGCACGTTGAGTCTGCTGTGGCTTCGGAGCCTCAGGGAGAGGCCAGTGCAGCCGCTGCCTCCCCAACAGTGCCTGAGGATGAAGTGGCTGCTTTCTTGACTGAGATCCCTGCAACAGAGCCTGGAACATCCCACATTCCTCCAGGAGCAGATGATAGTGGAGATGCAGCAGCTTCTCCCTTGTGTCGGGACTCTCGGCGCCAGGTGAGTGAGGCGCGTGTGGTTGGCACCGGGGATCCCAAGGCCTTGGACGGCAGCTCCCAGGTTTTGTGACAGGGCTATTTCTGGTGCTGCCTGTGTCATCCCACTGACATTGCCCCCATCCCCTGCCTGTGCTCTTGCTACCCTGCAGGGTAGGCTCAGACGCTTTGTGAGGAAACACCTGGGCAAGGCTGTGACTGTCATCCAGGGAACAAGGCAGCAGCAGGTGAAAGAGCCAGACGTGGCACAAAGCTTGGATGTGGAGTCACCGTCAACGTCGCCTGCTGTAGTTCAGGACAGCGAGAACCAGCCAGGTACTTGCCCGAGTTGGGTGGCACCCAGGCCAGACCGGCAGCAGTGTTTGCGTGAGTTCGGGTGTGTCCCAGCCTCCCCTCCATGGGCCGAAGGCTGCGTGGAGACCTCCTAGCAGACCTTCCAGTATCTGAAGGAGGCCAATGAGGATGCTGTTAAGGAGAAGTTCTTTACTGTAAGGGTGGTGAGGCACTGGAACGGGTTGCCAAAGGAAGTCCCTTGCCTACAGCTCTTCTTCCTCCACAGGCATTGCCACTCTTCCAGACCAAGGAGCGGCCCCACGGCGACGACTCTCCCGCTTCAGGAGAGTGCTGAGGGCTCTGCGCAAGGCTTTCACTTGCTCATGCCTCACCCCACGTGTGGAGGAGTAGCGCCCTGCTGCCAGCGCCAGGCCCAAGGCAGCTGTGCTGAGGATGTCATGCTGCAGCCTGCACTTGTTGTGGCTGCTTTCTTGGGCCAATAAATAATAACTCGTTTCCCCCCCCACTGCTCGTCTCTGCCTGTATGTTGGTTAGAGCATGTTTGTGTAATTCACGGACCTCTATATTTAATTAACGTAAAACAACTGACTTCAATCTAAGCGGCTACCTATCTGTTGCAATTAGTTCTAGTTTACACACAGTATGCTAGAGATTGGAAGAGACCTCAAAAGATCATCTCGTCCAGTCCCGCTTCCGGAGCGGGAACACCTACATAATGTTACACAGGAATGTGTCCAGGCGGGTTTTGAATGTCTCCAAAGATGGAGACTCCACAACCTCCCTGGGCAGCCTGTTCCAATGGCAAGCATAAACAAACACTTCCTACAAGTTTTGAAGTTAAATAAAAGTTCAAATATTCAACTTTAAATTTTGAGCAAGCTTTTAAATAGAACACCCTCTTCCCCACTTCTATACAAAGATAAAGCAGTGGTGTACAAAGCACACAAGTTAAATTGTGTTTGATAACTGGGGAATAGCCTTACTGTCAGTTATCAAACAAATCAGGAGAATAAACATATCTCTATCTTGTAAGATAAGACTAAAACCAAAAATCCACGTTAATCATGATAGAAGTGAAACATCTGAATGCAGAAGCCTCACAGTTATCACTTAAAAGCTTTAAACCCAACTTCCTCTGATCTATTTGCTATTGTAAAGCAAATATCCAAAGAGCACTGACACTTTAACTCTTGGAAAGCAAATAACACATTTACATCAACCACCCCTCCCGCCCTTCCAACACATGGATATGAGAAAGGTCCCAAGCACTCTGTAGTTCCAACACAGTTCCATGTTCAACATTCCTCAGTCAAATCTCTAAACACCTGAGGTGCCAGTTTATAGTGAACAAAAATTAATGAATAAAAACTCTTCTGAGTTCTTACACTCTGCAAAAGAGATCAGAGAAGGAATTTACACTGGGCTAAATCCAAAGTTTAATCTAGCTTTCTTAGGATGTTCTCACCAAGAATATGTTCTCTGGGACACATTTTTAGAATGAAAAGCTACTTGGTTGAAAACAAACGGCTTTACTTTTTATGATGAAAGAGAAATGATGATTGTTGAGTTACACTGTAATACTCTCTTTATGCTGTGTCTGTAGGCTCGTATCTTTAACGAGACCCCTATAAATCCACGAAGATGTCTGCACATCCTTACCAAAATCCTTTACTTGCTGAACCAGGTAAGTGCTATCATTTCTTCCCAGCCAGAATGAATATTCCCAAGGCTAATATAAGGAAGAAGTTCTTTACTGTGAGGGTGATGAGGCCAGAGAAGTGGTGAATGTTCCATCCTTGGCAGTGTTCAAGGCCAGGTTGCACAGAGCCTTGAGAGACATGTCTAGTGTGAGGTGTCCCTGCCTTTGGCAAGGGGTTGGAACTGGATGAGCTTAAGGTCCTTTCAAAGCCAAGCCATTCTGTGATGCTGTGATTCTAATTTCTGATAGCTTTCAGTGTGAAAGAAGTTTTGTACCTCTTCCTGACAGATTTGGGAGGTAGCTTTTTAAGGAGATCCAGAATGGGGTGTTTATGCTTTAGTATTATGTTCTTCCCTCTGACTTGCTGCTAACTGGAGTGAGATACATATCACTGAAGCTTTTAATACTTTTTCCGTGAGTGCCAAGTGAGAGCTGCTGCTTGATCTGTGGCCATCACAGCCCTGTGCAATGAAAGAGACACTTGTGTTTGCCCAGCTAAAGTGGGAATGGCTGAGACGAAGTGAAAACATAGGCCAAGAAGTGATGAGGTAGAAGGGTGTCTTTTTGTCTGGGGCTAAATTAGAAGCATGATAAGAAAGATTTTCTTCAGATGTTTATGTAGATCAGGTTTCGTGTGTGTCAGGTTGTATTTAACATCAAAGTAGGTTGGACCTCTGCTGTTCAGTCTTAATTCAGGCAGCAAGTAGATCCCTTTTAGGTAAGACAAAACCAAGGATGCCAGAAAAGGGAGCACAGGCTACTTAACAAACTGTTCCATTGCTGTACAGCTATGGATGGCATTTGTTGAAACCAAGTAGCTAGTAGTGGTAAATTTGACAGGTACTCCTCAGGAAACACGAGGTGAGGGAGGGATGGTTTCTAACATGAGAAAAAGCCTCAAAGCAAAGATCCTTGGTGTGTGGGTAGGTGTTAAAAATGGAGGCTGGAGGGAAGGAATGCCATGCAGAGGGACCTCGACATGCTTGTGAGGTGGGCTGATGCCAACCTCATGAAGTTTAAGCATGCCAAGTGCAAGGTCCTACAGCTGGGTCAGACCAATCCCAGGCACAGCTACAGGTTGGGCAGAGAAGAGATTCAGAGCAGCCCTGCGGAGAAGGACTTGGGGGTGTTGGTTTCATGTTCTTTTTATGTTGAGTAAACCAGAACTGCACACAGTACTCCAGGTGAGGTCTCACAAGAATGATTTCATTATTTTTGTTGTTTTTTTCCTTCTTTTACCGGTCTTTCTTTTCTCCGTTCCCTTTTCTTCTTGTCAAGGAAAAAAACAGGGAGGAGAAAAGTGCATCCCTGACTGCCCAGTGGCCATGGGCACGATGCTGCCGCTGTCACAAAGCTTCAGTGGTTGCTGTGGAGTTGCCCATGAGGAGCTGGGACCCTTTGGAACTGGTGAGGGCATCGGCGTCTCCGTGGAAACCACGGGGGCATTGTTACGACTCTTATGTGGGGTATTTAAGGCCCTGGCGCACCCTAGAGGTGGCAGTTGCCCTGTGAATCCACAGCAAGTCTGCATCCGAGGACACAGAAGATGCCAGTGGACAAGGGATCGAACGCCCGCTCCCAGCCTGCCGAGGGCAGGCCAGGAGTGCAAAGGAGGCGCCAGGTGAGGGCTGGGGCAGGAGTGAGAGGCCGGTGGTGGGACGGGGCCACATGGAGCTGCCTCGGGGCCGGGGCCGGGCTTGCCGGCACTGCGGGGGCTGCTGTGCCAAGGCAGCCGCCTCCATCACACACCTCTTCCTCCTCCTCCTGCCCGCAGGTGGGCCACAGGCCACAGCCTGAGGAAGGGCGGCGTGGGATCACGGTACCACAGCTGCCCTACCAACGAAGGTATCAGCCCATCGAGACCCAGCAGGAACAGGTAGGGACCCCGAGGGAGACAGGGCCAAACACCTTCCCAACCACGGGCATGCCGGGGCTGCTGTGGGCTGGGGCCATGGCCGGCGGGTGGCCAGCCCTTTCCCCAGCCAGCTCTGGGAGCAGGCAGCAGCCACCTGTGGGCCTGAGCCTTGCCGTGGGGCTGGCAGGGGAGCCCAACTGCATGAGCTCCCAACAGCTGGGATACAGGCGCAAGAGACACTATCACAGAGCCTCTCTCCTCGACTTCTCTTGCAGGTGGGCAGCGTGAGGTGCAGAGCGGTGCTGCCCCGCAGCATGAGGACAGAGGAGCAGACACTTCCTCGGCCAGTGGTGGTGGAAAGGACACCTCGGCCGCCACCTCGGCCAGTGAGAGAAGCCAGCAGGCTGCCTCGCCCGACATGGGCACCCTCTGCCCCTGCAGCCAGATTCACTGACATGGCCATCGGCAGGACAAGCAACAGCCAAAAGCAGCTTTGCACAACCGCTGCCCAGCAGCACCACATCCCCGCACATGGCAGCACTGTTGCGAGGCCACGGAGCTGGCAGCCTGCCCCACACAGGCCCACAGCCTGTGCCACAGCGCAGGGCACAAGAAATGTGAGCGCGGTCCTGCGCAACAACAGCGCTGAGAGCCGGGGACCCTACCAGCAGGCAGTGGCATGCCAGGACCCAGCATACAGCAGGGCTGCAATGACAAGAAGATACACTGTCAGGGCACCTAACGGCAGCAAAGCCACCGCCACTCAGCCTGCTCCTGATCCTAACACCCGTGCGAGCACTGCTGCTTCCCAGAGCAGGAAGACGGGGCGAGAGGGCAGCCTCAATGACAAGTTGCTGGGGCTGCACAAGAAGGTTCTTGCAAAGCCTCTGCCCGCCCTGCGCAGCAACATCGAGGCT